CGTTGACCAATCAGAAGGCTCCATTCCACATTCTTTATGTCGCCGTAATGTCACAAATAGAGTCAAAATCGGGTATTTATTCATCCCAATCCATACATTAAACAAAATGAATAATCACCCGCATATGACCTCAGGTGACCCAATAGAACACGGCTCTACTTCTAAAAAAATCCAAAAATAACTTGAGTTGTGTTCCGATGACCTCGGGTGACTCCCATAAGAACACCTGTTCCCTGCCTGTGACCCAGATAGAAGGTCATAGAACGTGAACCCCCCTGTGACCTCAGGTGAAAGTCCCCCTCAAAAGGAAAATAATTGTTTTGGGGAGAAAAATTGAACAAAACATAGTCAACAAATGACCTCTAGTAGCCCGATACTACCTACCTAGTACTTTGCCGTACGCTCCTAGATCCTAGCAACGGGAAGGTATGCACTGGCGTCATATCCGCTTCAAAAACACGTACTAGCAACAGGAATTTGAAGTAAGAAATTGTTCAATAATTGACGTCCATTCATGCTCAAAATTCAGTACGCAGGAAGAGAGCTACCAATTACTTCGTATCGTCAATGGTGTTTGTCCTCCCTTAACATTTGGTACAATGGCCTATGAAAACTCCCCATAGCATATAGACAACGGCCCCCACTCGTCTCTGATATTCTGTCATTTCCAACTGTTCCTGCAAATGGCACTGGGCATCTTCCACTGTGATCTTGCAGCAGTCAAGGTTTGCTTTCAGAAGAAGGTTACTTGTATCGTATTTTATGTGCTATCTGGGCCGCGATTACGTTCGATACGGGTGTTCCGGCCCGTGTGATAACTAGCGATACGGCCCAGGGGTTCTTTACGCGTACGGCCCGGGCCTTCCAAATGTTCCATAGAACGATTCGAACGCGTTTCGCCCTAACCGCTTGCACCGCTTTGGAAAATTCGACTACGAAATTCGGACGTTGGAATTGATGTTGTAGCATTTTTTTGGTTTAGGGACACCAAATTTTTACTCATTTTGCATTGAAAGGCGTGTTTTCTTTGGTGGGTATGACATAAATAAAATACAAAACGGTGTATTCTATATTTATGTCATACCTGGGCCGCGATTACGTTCGATACGGGTGTTCCGGACCGGGCGCACTTTACAGTACGACCCGGGCTTCTTTATGCGTACGGCCTGGGCTTCCGTGGCTTCCATAGAACGATTAGAACGCATTTTGCCCTAGCCGCGTGCACCGCTTTTGAAAATTCGAATACAGAATTCGGACGTTGGAATTGATGTTGGAATTGATCTCTCTTTTTCTTTTTGGTTTTCGCTCATTTCACATTGAGAGGCGTGTTTTCTTGGGTGGGTATGACATAAACAAAATACAACACGGTGTCCCAGCCCTCCCCCGGATCGGATCTCCCTCCGGCCTTCGGCCGATCCGACGCGCGGTCAGGCTGGTACCTCGGGCGATACGGAATACCCCGTGTTGCATTCTATATGTAGGCTGGTTCTAGCTATTTATGGATGGTACCCATAAAATGAAGAAATGCCTGACGTAGCTTGTTCAAACGATTCAAGTATGACATGATGACGAAGATGTTCTAATGAAATGGCAGTAAATATCAATATTTCAAGTTTTAACTTTCAACATATTGCAGTGTCATTTGTATCTCCTACTGTGATCTTAAACAGGCGTATTAACGTGAAGAGGGAATGATTCTTCACAATGGAGATAAGTGGCTGGATGTACGTCGTCGTCGTCATCCTGGGAAGTAATCAGGTTTCTATTGTTATCTTTTTATTCCTCTGCGGTCTATTTAATATCTTTCCTTTTGTCCGTTACAACGCATCCAGATGGCTAATTGAAGAATCCCCTGTAACTATCATGATATTTCTTTAAATTCAATTTCAAGACGGGTGGTAGCCAAATCAGATTGCAATGGCTATTGATAAAAAAGATAACCAGATCATTGTGTCTTACTAATGTTGCGTTACTAAGGTCATATTTAAAAAATAAAATCATTTATAAAGTCTTTGACATACTTGGGGTCAGATAGCAATGTTGTGTTTAGTTTCCAATAACCACGACCCCTCTGGTATTCGGAAAGAGTAATTGATAGTAATACCAGGTTATGATCTGACCTTAGTCTACTTCCAATTTTTGCGTGGGATAACCTCGGGAGCATGGAAAACGAGATGAGAAAATAATCTATTCTACTAGCTATAGCCTGTTCATTTCGTCGCCATGTGTATCGGGCTTTTATATATAGGTTTTTATATCACCAAATATCTAAAAGGTCCCATGTACTTATTATATCTAGAACTTTCTCTCGTGATTTGTGGTGATAATTATGCTCCCTCTGTCCTGCTCGATCTATTTTGATATCTAGAACAGTGTTGAAGTCACCAAGTATTATAAGATTTTCTATCAAAATATCTACATCTTGTATACCTTTCTCCACTCTCGCAAAACATTAGGATTTTCCGTATTAGGACCATACACATTAACTAAACAAAACCTGAATTCATCAATCGTTATATCAAGCAATATCCATCGACCGTCATCATTCCTTTTCTGTCATTGATTGTGTAGTTGAAGCCTTTCTTAAACAACACCAACACCCCTCTGCTATTACTTTTCCCATGACAAAAAACAATAGAGCCTTCCCATTCTGATGCCCACGTATTTTCATCGTTAGCTTCAGAGTGAGTTTCTTGTAGGCAAATGATTTCAAACGTTAAACAGCCATGTGAAAACTGCATTTCTTTGCGTCTATTCCCAATTCCGTTGCAATTAACATACCATGCCCAGAGCCGGTGTTCCGTGGCCAGGTGCATAAACAAGACATTCCGAACAGTCGCAGGGGCCATCAAGGCACTAATTAACCATTTAGTAGCATGTGCACGTGTGTACTCCATATCAAAACCAAACAAAAACAATATTAACATATCAAACCAGATCATAACATAAACAAAATCAATGATAATAATAATCAACATAGGAAATCAAAACACTATTTAACCATTTTGTAGTGTGTGTGTACTCAATACCCAAACTAGATAGAAATGATATGATAAAAGTAAACCAGATCATTGTACAAGCAAAGATGATAATAATGTTGATAAACAATAGATTGATAAAGAGAACGAAAAAGGTTCTGGCCCGGTGGATATGACACAAAGTCTTTTTCTTTCCTAGCGTTTTAATGGATATCTTTAATCAGCCTGTAAATTTCTTTAAAAAATATATGCAATAAACAACTGTACTTAGAACGATGTCGAAAAAATTACATGTGTTCTACGAACAATCACGACAGGTAGGTGTGCCGGACAGAAGACTGTCGTTACAAAACATTACATTGACTTCTACTCACAATAATTAACGCCTTCTACCCCGACTGGGACGCGGTCTTACGGTCCGCTTTGGTCCTTTCCCGCATTGCTGTTCATGTATTGTGTCGTCCAAGTCAGGGGCTGTGTCACCCTCCGGTTCCTTTTGCACATAGTCACTTTCCCGATCGTCTCGACTTTTTTTTGTCGCTCCTACTGTCTCTTTTGCTTTCCCGCTTTCCGCCTCTGGTTTGTCTCGCAACCATCTCCGTGGTATCTTCCAGTGTACAAGCGATTCCCCTTCTATCACCAGCCTGTCGCCTACAATGGATGCCCTTTCCCCTCGGCTTTTGCTCGCTTTAGAGCAGGGACAAGCTTACGTTTCCTGAGCTCCCGGACATTAGAGGGTACATCATCCGTAATGAAGATACGCTTGCCTTTAAACTTTGTTTTGTTTTTCCAAACTTTCTCCCTGTCAGATATGCAGGTGAAACGGGCGATGATTGGCCTATTTCTCTGTGGCTTTCTCAGTCTAATGTCATTACAAAACATTAAGACCGATGGACTGAGAGTTTACAATAGTCAATCTGGAAGATGAAACATACTTGATTGTTTCCAAACAAAAAGCTGTTATCGAACTTTTTTTTTTCAGAAATCAAATTCGAAGGACAAAAACAACATAAGGCTGTTTCTGTTTTAACTATCCCTATTGTTCTTGCAATTTGCCATTAAACCACTGCCCTATCAACATTTCCAGGCAGTTTTATACGGCATTTGTCCACACCCCTTCAGGTCAATACATTGAGCAGAGAATCTTTACAACAATTTGTTTTTAAATGCATGATGTAAGCATACAATTTGTCGCTTTCACACAGATTTTGAGCTCCATCACTTATTCGGTTCTTCCTATTCTTACATCTTATTCTCCGTTTTCGTACATTTGTACTAATAATTTTAATGAAACATTTTCCTCTGCTATATATACTTCTTTTGCCTGAATGCCATATTTTGTATTCTAACCCAACACATACCTCCGACTACAGATCGCTACAAATATCTTTATATACCTCTGATGTCTACTTTAAGAAACTGTTAAAAGCTTTGAAGATTTCACGTGTTCATGTTCATGTTTCATGTTGCCTTACAGTAATCATAGCAGTAACTCTGATTGGCTGTCTGCTCACCATCCTTGCCATCTGGACACGCCCAGTCCTGAGGAAGCTGGTCAACGTCCCTCTGGTCAGCCTCAGCTGTGCGGACATCATCTCCTCTATCTTTAGCGTCTCTCTGTTGATCCACACATATCTGCATCCCCAATGGGAACCGCTAGGGGCGCTGTGCTGGCTCCAAGCTTACATTACTATAGTTTTATGGGGGGTATCAAGCTGTCACATGGCATGCATCGCTCTTCAGCGGTACTTTATAGTCTGCACTAACAGTACACTTCTGAAGTCCACACGTGCATTGGCCATTATGCTCCTGATTACATGGTTAATCCCCTTTGTTTCATTTTTGCCTATTCACATTGTTGAAGAAGTAAAATTGGATCCAAAGTTGAAACGGTGTGGTATGGGAGCATCTACAAATTTATGGGGTAAGATGGTCCCAGCTATTCTTAATTTCTTTGGCCCGTTCATAGCCACTCTCATCTCGTACGCGCTCATTCGGTACAATGTGAAGAAGAGTAACGCACGTATATATAGGAGCTCATGCTTTACAAAATTTAAAACCATCGGTTTCACGCGTCACTCCGAGGAGAAAAGGAAGAGATTCTGTCACAGAAACTTCATCCACTAGAATGACAAATTCTACCAAAAAACTTGTTTCGATGGTGGATCCAAATTCTGGTCTAGCTGACCCAAATGGTACGAACGAGATGAGCAAAAGAACCGATCAGGCATATACAAGTGAACATGAGCGTGCTGAACATGACGAAAATCCATCATTATGTGATGGAAAAGAACAAGTAGAAACCTCTAATGGGCCGGCTTGTTCAACCAAAGATGCCTTAGCAACAGCTGTGTCAGATAGGGTAGGTACATACCAGGAACAGAATCGTGTTGTTCAGGGCAGTAGTTCTCCAAACAATGCCGCCGAAAGGCAGATCACCAGAATGATGATGACACTGTTTGTTGTGTACACAGTCTGCTGTGTGCCCTTGATAATGATGGCCATATTTTCCAGCCGAGTCCCATCAGAAGCTTTTACTGTTGGTCAGGTACTCATGGCTCTGAACGGCGCTCTGAACCCGATTATATACGGCCTTATGAACAGAAATATCCGTCAGGGGTATAAACATATCTGGGACAGTCTGCTTAACTCCATAAACTGATACCCGAAATAGCCAAGAAATTTCCGGGTAGTGGTTTGGGTTTTCATGGATGTACTGAAACTGTGGAGGGGATTGTAAGATGTAATATAATCAGGTTTTACACCAATGGATTTCTATACAATACTCTCGCACACGATTTTGGACACCCTGTTATGTGGCTGCGGCCTCAGATGCATTGGCTTGAAACAAAACGATTGAATTTACCATAAATTTACACTACCCAAAACAAAACCTCCATCTTGGAAGTAACTATATTCATTACTTAAGTTTGTAGCGGCCTTTGATATAATTTTTTTACAGACTATTTATTGACTAAACAATCATTTTAGGTCAATAAAGAATAAAGGTCCTCCAATTCATAATACAAGACCAGTGTCCTACATACCAGTGTACTACATCTAATAAAATTAGTAAAAAAATAGTTGAAGCTATTTTTCGTAGAAATTCGTTAAAGAGGTTCTGTTGATATAAACTTCGAGGTAAATGGACCAACACTCTTATAGTTGGTCCTCTGTAGTAAAACCTCTGATTTGTATCAAAATTTTGTTCAACAAAGATTCATGTCACCATATGTAGAAAAGAAATGGGAAAGACTTTTTGAGTGTGAATTGAAATGGAAAGACATATGGCAGAACCAAACAAATCCCACAATAGGAACACGTATATCACAAATTAATTATAAAATATTGCATGAAATACTACCATATGTCGAGCACATGTATAATTGTGTCGAAGACTACGAGCATTTGTTTTTAAGGTGTAAAAGACTGACAAAATTCTGGGAAAACCGTTTTGTCAATTGATATGTAAATGTTTTAAATGTACTGTAATGGTAAACCTGAGAGAACTTGTACTGGGATACAAAACAAATTACTTGAACTCATCTGAAATATACGTAATAATCAACTTATTAATAGCTATTGCAAAGAATGTTATATTTAAGAACTGGTGTAATAACAGAAACAATGATAAATACACATCAATGGATCTTTACCGTAATTTCAAATCAGAAATCATTTGTTTACTTCAACCTTGTAAACAACAGAATGTACAAACATGTTCTTTGTAATTTGTAAACTTTGTATTTATGTATACATGTATATAATGTAATGTTGCCTTTGATGAATATAATTTGTTAAAAAAAATTTAAAAAAACAACTTATAGTTTTCAACAACATACAATCCCGTTGAAGTTGTTTCTTTTCCATTCCATTAGATACATAAGAACAACCTGCAGCGACATACCTGGACAAAATTCATCATGTACTGAACTGGACTCCTAGATCCTACTAATGGAATTTTATGTTTAAATACTCATTAATCATTTTAAAAGATAATTTGTTGTTGTAATAGGAACAGAAAACGTGATAAAGTGAATAATTTTTGTGTTCGTTTAGAACTTTGGGACAATGAAGATGCAAGGACGGACATCATCCAGTTTAGACCTTATTGTATTTTCAAGAATGCTATAATTCTTTAATGATATATTGTTATATTTTTGGTGTTTGAGTATAGGATCTTGTTGCAGTGTACTGAATGACGATGTTAATGGCAAAAAGAGAGTTAGCACATTGTGTTTTGTAATGTAAGCATAGAAAAGAAAATCAATCTGCATGAACAACCTGCCCTATTAACTTTGTAGGAATACCAACCAATTTGTAGTATCAATATATGTAAGGATTGGATATATACATTTAGTTTAAACTCTAAGGACCATGTCTTCATTTAGCTTAGAAGCTCGGGAAAATACATACTTTGTGATGGTATTGGATACAAACAGAATATTGAGAACTCTTTATTCTTCATTCTATCGCCTTATTGTATGTACTACAACTAACAACAATTGTTCGTTTTGCCTGTAACTGGACCATAGCATGAATATTTATCAAATATATTTGTATGTAATTTTGTAGATAGGGAATTCGCTCCAGTTAGTTTTACTTGTGTCATTAAAGCACAGTTTTAAATAGATTGCAGACATCTATACCGCTTTCGCCTATTGATTGGCATATATGTTCTTGATGTTAAGTATCTCATTACCTATTTATGGTGTAATGTAAATAAAGTCTCATGCTTGAAAGTGAAATCATTGATCAGACTTTATCCTTTTTACCATTATATTCATACATTTATTTATCCTTCAACCTATCTTGGATCGTCGAGTTCGGATTTTTAAAATACATTTTTTAGCAAACAAACAAACTAGACTCTCTTGAAGACCGAGTTTTCACGGAGTTTTGATAAAACAACAATGTACTCCTGAGTCACAAGCGGTTTCAATACAAAAAGTACCAACCAAACAGTGGACTTTTGGAACAAAGTTTATTTATCTATTTATTTTATTTAATCTTCAGACACCTGGGTGGCCTAGTTCAATTTTGACAAGTTGATTGTCAATAGGGCCCAGTACAAAATACAATAAAATCAAAGATACAGATACAAACAGAGACCGATATAAACAATTCAGAATCGTTATCCATAATTCGTGTCGATTAAACAGTCCAAGTCGACTTTCCGTATGGAGGTCAGAGGTCAATTTACACACTGATTAGGTAATTAAGTTCTTCAGAGCAGTCTTGAAGGATTTCAAAGATGTTTGTTCTGTGATGTTTACTGGGAGAAAATTGAAATAATTTACACCTCGGTAAGCAAATGTGTGTTGTCCAGCTGTGGTTTTGAATAAAGGTATGTAGAGTTGTGATGTCTGTCTGGTGTTGTAGCTGTGGAAGTTGTAGTTGTAGTTGTGTGAGAAGATAGATGATAAGTATGCTGGTGCTAGCCCATTTATACATTTAAACACCATAATACACATGTGATCCCTCCTCCTGTCGCCGAGGTGCTGCCAGTTGAGTCTATGGTGGAGGTCAAGTACGCTGCTGGCACTGTAGAACTATCCTGGCGGCCCGGTTTTGCAGTACCTGGAGCTGCCGCTTTCTTACTACCCTGCAGCTCTCCCACACTGTGTCGCAGTAGTCCATGAGGGGGAGCACCATTGACTTATACAACATAGAAGTTACATTAACTGTGAGACAGGGTCTAAGACGCCTGAGTAAGGCTTAACGCTGAGTTACCTTAATACAAAGTTTGTCAATGTTTTCATTCCATGTTAATTTGTCGTCAAGAACAGCTCCTAGGTACTTGAACGAATTCACTCTGTCTATAGTTTCATTTCCAATATTGAGTGTACCTGGTTTTACAGATTTTAGTTTTCCACTACTACCGAAAAGAATCCACTGTGTCTTATAAGCATTTAATGTCAAGTGATTTATCTGAAACTGTGTAAATAAAAGAGTGAGTTCATTGTTCAGGGTGGTTTCAATGTACCTCAAGTCATCACTGGAGCAAAAAATGGCAGTATCATCTGCATAGAGACATACTTTGCTGGATATGGATTCTGGAAGATCATTTATAAACAAGATGAAGAACAACGCGTACGGTCCCAGTATGGAACCTCCGACTGTAAGTGGGAGATGATCTGAGGAACAACCATTTAGAGACTCCATCTGAGTTCTACATCTTTTACTCCAATCCAGGACAGTTTCTTTAATAACAGGTAGTGATCAACCGTGTCGAAGGCTTTTTTAGATCTAAAAACACAGCCCCCATAAGGTTTCCCCTATCAATGTTTCGATACACATAGTCAGTGACATCTAGCAGTGTAGTGGCCGTTGAATAATAACCTTTATTGTACATTCATGCCCTATCGGGCTAAGTACAGGTGAACAGTTGAAATGGGTAATATACATGTTTGTATTACAAACAGCTCTAAAACTACTCTAATACAGAGGTTCGGCTTCTTCTCGTTTCTTTGTGATGTTGAAAATATAATTTGAGATGGGTTTGTATAATACAGGATGATCAAAGCGCATAAGAAAGATAAATTTTTCAACATTAGGCAAGTATTGGAAGTATGAAAACGTACTAGTAATACATCTAAAAAGATCGTTTCTTTCATTACTATATAAACTACAATCAATAACAAAGTGGGCTTCATCTTCTACTTTGTTTGAGCTACAAAATTGGCAGATTCTTTGCTCCAGAGGTGTGTGGTTGTGCCTTCCTGTTTCGATGCTGAGTTTATGACAGCTGATTCGTAGTTTGATGATGGCGGTTCTTTGACTTCCGTTTGGGATTTTAAGATAATGTTCTTCATTATAAGTAGATTTGAATAGTCTGTACGAGCGCAGTTTGTTCTTTGCGTTTTTGGACTGGTTGTCATTATGAATTTCGCGTAGGAATTTTTGGAAGTAAATGTCTTTCAAACGTTGGTGAATGGAGGAGATGGTTGCGTGTACTTTTGAAGCAATTGATAGGGGGGAATGCCAAACAAAGGCATAACAGCATTCCTCTAGAGATTTCCGTACACCAGATGCCCAACATTTACTACCTAATCTATCTAATTCTAATTGACATAAGAGTGCGTCGGCATTGAGACTTCCAGTTGGCACATTTAGGCATATTCTGATAAAATGTTTTATGGCGTTAAGGGAGGCCTCTAAGTGCAAAGGGTACCTCCCTAATTCAGCCCGTGCTGCAATATTACAAGCTGTTTTAGGTACGTTGAGAGATTGTTTGCAGAATTCTAAATGAACAGATTCGATTGGACAAGAGTTTGAAGTTTTGAATGATCCCCAAATTTCTGATCCGTAAAGCAAGATAGGTTTCACACAAGAGTCGAAAAGCTTGTTTTTAACGGACAATGGGCGTACGGCTTTGTCAATGGATTGTCTGACTCCAAACAAAGCTTTCAGCCCCTTACTATAAAGGTATTTGTGGTTGGCCTTGAATGTACCAGCTGAGTTAGCAATGATGCCTAAATAACAATAAGATGATACTATTTCTACTGTATTATTGTCAAACAAAAAGGAGCAGTCTTTTGGTAAACGACCTCCCTTTGAGAACACAATAATTTTTGTCTTTTTAAGATTAACTTTCAACTTCCAAGACTTACAGTATTCTTCTAACCTGGACAGTGAGGATTGTAAGCCACCTTGTGACTC